CGGAAGGGTAGGGAAGGGAAGGGACGCGCGGCGGGGACGAGAGGCCGCCGCGGGGGAAAGGGCAGCTCCCGCTCCACTCTCCCATTTAGTCCGGTATGAGACGTCGTCGGTGGAACGTACTGTTGCGCGCGCTCCCTCCTGTGCTCGTCGTCTCGCGCGCGCGTTAGTCGAGAGTTGGTGGCTGCAGTCGTGCCGTTAGTTGGCAGGCGCGCCGCCGCGCGGCGCTGCTTACTGGCTGCTTACCCGTAACTCCGTGACCGCCCTGCGTGCCGTAATTTCCTCCTCGTTGTTCTCGAAAAGCTGTCCCACGCCAGCAGCGTCTTTCATCGTCATTCCCGAGACGAGGCGCGAGCATGGGTGATGGTTTCGGACCGCGGTCGGCTCGCGCGAGAATGACCCGCGCGGCGAACGGCCACGCGACATCGTAGGCTGGCCACCCTGCACAAAGAGGGAGGGAGGGACAGAACGTAGGAAGATCCCCGACTCCGAGACGTCGTTTCTGCCCGTCGACTGTAGCGCTTCGTACGGTGTGTATGTACGCACGTCGTACGGTGTCGCACGGATACCGCGTCGCCGTTGACCCGCGCGCGCTCGCGCTCGCGCTCCTTCCTACATTCCGCCCGTGTGCTCCCGGATCACGCGCTGGGAGCACGTAGCGTTCTTCCTCGCCTCCGCTGGCCTCGCATGCTCGCACGTAAGTATAGTATATCGATACACCCTACACGAGCACGCACACAAACTCGAGTCGTACGCCACACTCACACACGTACACGCGCGATACGCCGCGCCGGTTCACGGTGTACACAGAGAGCATTCGCGTTTGTGTGCCGAGAGATGGAGCGACGGGACAGGCGGACGGACGGACGGACCGTAGGTGTTCTCCTCTCTTTTCTCTCTTTCATCCCGCGTATCTCTCTTCCCCCCCCCCCACACACATACACGCAGCTTTTCTCTTCCGTACTTATCTTTGCGGAGCATTTCTGCGTCTTCTCTCATCTCGCATTGCCTCGTCTCGAGCGCAATCGCACGGCACTCGCTCATCGAACACACACTGCAACAGGCTTGGGATTCTTGACAACTGACTGTCCGTCGCGAGACGTTACGATACAACCGTGCATTTTTTAACTCGATCGAAAAGAGCTCGATAAGAATTGTCGAGCTCTGCGCGTTCAACCAATACAGTACACTGCTTTTCTCTCTTTCATCAAGATTCTAGATGCAGTAAACAGGTTTTAGAATCTGCTTTGTCTTCTATACCTTATGGGATTGCGAGTTGTATAACTGAATAACTGAAAGCAAAGTAAAAGCTACTTTCTTATTTCATAACATTAACAAATGAAGAGTTTTTATGTGAAAATGGTTCACTATAATTTGCTTCTTATGATTCGAATAACGAGATGGAGCGCAGTTTTCGAGGAACCTCAAAGTTACCGTCGTGTATTGTGAAAAAGGTTCACAGACAAATGGCTAAATATTTAAAGATTTACAAAAGTTAAGTAATAACGTTTGTTAGGCTTCAAAATTCTTTATTAGAAATAAAGAGAAGATAATGGAAACCTGTTACCGATTGTATGGTAAATAACATGTATTTCGGTCATAGAATCTGACCCTCTTCGGTAATAAGAAATGACGTTAAGTTGTAATCATCGTCATCGTAGTTGTAACATTTTCATTTGGTTCAAAATTTTAGGAGGTTTGTATAGAGAAAATTTTCAACATGTTTGCACCAGCAGGAATACGACTCGTCCCTGTGTCGACGAGCAACTCGCTTAATTGCAGCTACTTAATTGCCGTAGCTATCGTGTCTTGCAATTGGTACAGACAAAACTCGCAGTCCGATGGATGCCCGGTCTACTAAATCCCGTCACAAAGACCAAACTCAATCTTCCGGTCACGAATTATCGGGAAATCTTTTCACCCGCCTTCGACAAGGGAAAGCCAAGTTGCTGCCCCGACGTCCGTTTTTCGTAGCCTCTTTGGCGTCGCTAGGTGATCGCGAACGTTGGTTTGGCTTCTGGAAGGGACGCGTAGGACGCCCCTTTTCGCAAGTGTTAGTGCCGTCTAAAGGCCGAATCAGACTAGCAATTGCCGACTCGGATTGGATTGAGATTGGCGATTGACGATTGACATCTGGCCAATGAGAGCAAAGCAGCGGACTTAATCGGCTCTCATTGGCTAGGAGACAATCGCCAATCCCAATCCAATCCGCGTCCGCAATTGCTAGCCCGATTCAGCCTTAAGGGGATGCTGGAGTGATTCTGCACTTT